TATATATATATATGATTCATAAAAAATATTTTAAAATAAGTATACATTTTCATGCATACATCATCAATAAAATATCTTTTATTATGACTAATAAAAAATTAGCATAACTCTTAGAGCATAAAAAATAAATATTTAAACTCGGATTAAAAAAAAGAAGTCAGAATTCAATTTTAGCAAACTTATAATCAAACTAATCGGTTCGACGAGACGGACCCAATGACACCAAAATTGATTCAATATGAGTCAAATCGGCTCTAGATGAGACTATTTAGACACTTTTGTAAGGTTTTTTTTTTTTTTTTTGTCTAATTGAAAAATCAAATGAATTTCAATATTAGTTGAGACACCCGAGATAGATCAATTGACACTGAGGCACTTGAGATGATTGTTCACACCCCTTTTTATTTTTTTTAAGAACCCCTCTTCATAGTTGTTCTCTTCAGAACTCTCTCAGAACGACGTTTGCTCAAAAGAGACAAGCGAGGAAATGTAAGTTGAAATTGGGCAAATATAGGAACACCAAAAAAGACATATACAGAGATATCTTACTAGACAATTCTCATAATATAAACTAGAGAGGAGTTGTCTGAAGCAAATCAGATAGTAGTTCGCGCAAATAAATATACGAGAAAAGTCTTATAAAAGGCAATTATATGTGAACCAGAAGACGATATTAAACTTATTTTGTTCTAGGTTCAAAGAGATCTCCCATGACGATATATCATCATAGTCAATTACATCATGGGGGATACCCATAAAGACTCTCAATAAAATATTTTATGCACGCTTTATATGACCTTTAAAAATAAGATGCCAATACAATTTTCATCGTTTAAATAAGGGAAAACTTATAATGTTACGACATAGTCAAGCTATCGGGCAGAGAGTGGACCACCATAACATGATCGGAAACTCGTCCTCAACAAAAAATAGCGTACAAGACAACTACAAGGAATCAAAAATGAGATATTATGGGCCCAAGCCAATGGTGGGTGAGAAAAGTCCAAAACATATTGAGATTCTTTGATCATAATTCTTTGGATTTATCATCACGTGATAATAATACTTTAAATTTATTTGGTCATGAAGATAGTTAGCCCAACCAGACTAAGAATACCTTGTGTCGTCCAAGGCAGTTGAGCACCCTTAGAGTCAAAGCAAAAGAACTTGAAGCTCATAAAACTCTATATGAACTAAAATAATGTAACATGACTTAAACCTAGTAAGGGTTTGACAAGGATGCTTGCAGAGTGGAAAGAATTTGGATGATCCGACTAACGAAATCAAAGCAACTCTATAAGCGACGCATGCTCCCGTATAGGTCGAGACAACCTCCAACATGATAAACCGTGCTAGGCAACCACCTAAGCAGATAAAACATAGCTTGGTCAATTGGGTTGGAGAAGCAAGTATACTTCCCCTCATGACACACAATATAATAATCAATATTGTCTGGAGCTAGTCATAAGTATGGAGGTTCTATTAATGTGTTAAGGGGATATGAGTATATGAGTATGTAGTTATGAGTATATAGCCATAATGTCATATAAAAAAGTAAAAGGATGAAATAAAATTCTTATTTTAATATATTGCAAATTTTAATCCTTAATTTTATTATAGTGAGTACTTTAAGTGAAAAAACATTTATAAAAAAAAGATTTATCATAACAAGTCTAAACCTGCCCAAATTCAAACAAACCACAATCCAAAAAGAGAAGTTGACAACACAACAATAAAGTAAACGTGCCAAATAAATAGTAACAACCTAGGCATTATTGGGTCGGCAACATGTCATTAAAAAAACGGTGATTGGGTTTCGCATACTACATCCCTGATACTAAATCTAAATATAAATTATATTTTGAAATTAAGGTATGAGGCATGAGCATAAGCTCATGGTCACTGTCAAATGGTACCCAAATATCAAGCTCCTCGAGACTCATGCATGTATCTTATTTTCAATATAAACTGTCTGAGAGACTCTAAAATGTATATAAGAAAGTCTAAAATAATGACTCAATCTGCAGAGAAATGTTAGTGCATGTAATATATAATTATCTTAGTCTTGTAGGAGGAGAGCTAAGAAACATATTCATAAAAGTCTTTAATTCAATTCAATAACATTAAACCTCACTCCCTACAAGAATATCGCCCTAGCATGCTAATACATGCCTGGCTCCATAAGCAAATTTAAAAAAAAAAAAAACACAAAAGATTCAACGGTTGACTCACAAACCATAACAATAGTTGTGCGTATGAAAAAATCAAACAACACCATATCTTTAATTCTAAACAAGCATCTACAAGGTATTGCCTAAATAAACACCTAAGTGACTTTCATGCAGTGTAGGTCTAAGGGCATTGTCATAAGATCTTGACGAGATCATCAAAACTAGCCTTATCTTGAGCATGTGAAAGAGCTAACACTTGCCACAACAAATGACGAATGTTAACCAAAACCAATGCTTGGAACGAGATATGAGATATGGTAGTAATTGGATAATTATCTTGGACAAGCCATTAGGTAAGGTTCATTTTCCTTTTATAATCACTGCTCATACTAATTTCTACGAAGTCTCTCCACTATTATTTTGACTTATACAACATAAACTATATGAAAAGGTGGCAAACTCACTTGAACAAAGCGAGTTGTTGACTGCATAGAAATGCCTCAAATCAAGTGCCTTAGGGACTAAACCACAAGGGCACAATACACAAAGGTCAAAATGTTATGGGGAATGCAACAAATGCATCTAATACGTGGAAACAATGTGATGAAAGCACACTTAGGAACAAATACAAGATGGGTTATACAATGCATACAAAATCTAATCCAAAATTAGAAGAGTATCCCACGGGCTCGTATAGACGGTCTCAAGGTACTAAAATGTTGCCCTAAAGAAAGATAGGTTGGTTTTGTGACGCCACTAGGGCAGCATCAAGGCACCAATCACTATTAATCTAGGTATAGTGGTATAAAAATGCCCATACATGACATGTAATATAACAATACAACGCTTGTAAAACTCATGCAAAAAAGCAAACACACGATCATAAAGGGATTCATTCATATATGACACTATGCGTACATGCACATATAACATAAGGCTACCTTACAAAAGAATTATATTGCAGGGCTATGCAAATAGCACTATTGTATTAATCCCTTGAAACTAGAGGAGAACAAGGTTAGGACCTATGTGCCACCGGGATGGCGCCACAGTACAAGCCGCTGCTAGCCCCAAATGATCATGGTGGCAGTGTTCACACGCAGCATAATGAGCCTAATGATCCTAATTATTGGTGGGACTTTGATAACTATCCTAACACCTCAATAAGTGGCTTAGAGTTTCAAATTTGATAAAAAAAAAAAAAACTTACAATATTTTAGTTGATAATGGCAAGCACACCATAAGTCTGGTCAGTATAGTTGGCAAAGTGTGGATCGCCACCTATACAAAAAGGCGTAACAAACGATCCAGGGATAACATTCCCCTAACTCGCTATCTAAAAAGATATGAACCTACACCGATTTGACACCACTAAAATCATCTATTAAACAAATAAAAAAGATGAGTGACTGGTACCCCTATAAAGGGGTGCACCTAATGGCCTAGGGTATAAACCCCGAAGTCCAAATCCTATAAAGAATCAGTCTTGAAACTGTTTAGCAAAAGCGTCGAATGCGACTAAATAACCAAATGAACCACGGTCATTGCACTGTAGGGAGGACATTTCACTGAATATGTGTCAACTAGAAAGCAAATTCCTAGTTAAGCCTTGGCACCATGTCATAAAGAAGTGGCTTTACCGCTCTAAAAGTTGTAGCCATGACATCACAAATATGTCATTGAGCACAATTCTAGCCTTAGATAGGCAAAATCATAGAGATGTAATACTCAAAATAGCATCATGGCTGTCATATCGGTGGGGCTCATGGCCTAGGGCTGCAATGCTAAAATAAACACCACGATTCTTAGCTAAACAAACATAATGTCTGATGAGGCCGCAATGTTGAAATTAACACCACATCCAAATATAGGGAATGACATCATAGCGTGGTTCCATTCCGAGAAGGATAGTGTCGTGATATTGCAAGACAATATTGTAACACTATTGATGAAGTCATATGGTGTCGTGCGACCAAGAAGTGGTGTTGCAGCTCTAACTCAAAACACAGAGGGTGGAGCCTATGTTTGTGGTGTGACTGCATGTTGCATATGTGTGGTACTGTGTTAGGACGTTTTTCTACAGAGAGTCATGTCTATTTATATGCACACATACAAGTGTTGATATGGGGGGAGCATGTGATGACTTTTGAAAATTTTGCTTGCATGTGTTATTTAGCTCCCCGCTTTTAAGGCATAACTCATGATACGTTATCTGCATGTGAGTTTTCCCGCTGACACTTGTTTTCATGCAGGATTGAGTATTTTTCTTTTTCTTATATAATTTTTAGAGTCTAAGAGAGTCCTGTAGCAGAAATAAGATATGGGTATGGGTTCCGAGGCGTTTGGCACGGGAACCACGTGGAGGGGACCAGAAGTAGATGCTCGTGCCTCGTATCTTAATTCTGCATTTTATATCGATGTATAGAAATAAGACTGTGCATGTATATGCGGAGTCCGACTGCTCTTTTTCCTTTTTGGGATATGTCGCCAACCCAACGGCTTTGGCCTTTTATCATTTTATTTGCCTTGTTTGTTTTTTGCATCATGTTGCATGACTGCACTTGTCCGAATTGTTTTCATTTTTTCTTTCTGTGATATGGGATTTCACGATGCAACATAGGCTCTTTAGGACTTAAATTCTTAATTTTATACAAAATCTTAACTAAAATATTCAAGATAATTAAACTTTAGGATTAAAATATTCATGATTTAAAAAATAAAATTTTACTTTCCTGCATATATTAATAGGGCTTCCACAATAAGACTGTGCATGTATATGCGGAGTCCGACTGCTCTTTTTCCTTTTTGGGATATGTCGCCAACCCAACGGCTTTGGCCTTTTATCATTTTATTTGCCTTGTTTGTTTTTTGCATCATGTTGCATGACTGCACTTGTCCGAATTGTTTTCATTTTTTCTTTCTGTGATATGGGATTTCACGATGCAACATAGGCTCTTTAGGACTTAAATTCTTAATTTTATACAAAATCTTAACTAAAATATTCAAGATAATTAAACTTTAGGATTAAAATATTCATGATTTAAAAAATAAAATTTTACTTTCCTGCATATATTAATAGGGCTTCCACAATACTTAAAGACCGCTCGAGATAACTGCATTCACATTTGCATATCCAGAGGAGGAGTCCCTGTGCTTCTTTAACCTGACTGACCCAACATACTTTTATATAGATGGCTATCTAGTGCGTCTAGGGTGTTAGAAAGCTCCCCAACTCAAACAGGGTGTAAGTCCTTTTGTTTGTAGCGTTTCCAATTTCGTAGCTGAACCTCCACTTTTTTTTTCCTGAGGCATCCTTGTCATTTCGACAGGTATAAGTCCCACCTCTTGGAGCTCCAGCTTGTAGTCATATGATAGAGTTTCCTTTCTTTGACCTTAGGGCCACAAAGATCTCCCGTGGATGACGCAATTCATGAATTGCTGATCGGGGATCTCAGGACGTGTTGGGTCGACTACTTTCACAACCAGGGGGTAGACTTAGGGTTCTAGTAACTGTGGATGACGGGTTTGTGGTACTCTGACCCAGTTACCTCTACCTTATAGGATGACTCTACATTCCTTTTGTTGAGCCCTTTTGCGCCCTGTCGCTCCTTGACTCTGTTGATATCATCTTGACGGCCTAATGTCGATGAGCTGCTGCTCATTTGAGATACGACAATTTGTCCAATGCCCTTATGACCCGAACATGCTTTGACGTGTTGGGATATCTCCGTCAAGATGATTTAGGTTATTCTGTGGGCTCTATGTGCCGATTAGACGCTACCCATTTGGGATGTGAGAGACTCGCTCTCTGCCCGATAGCTTAGCGTGAGCTTTGAACCATTGAGACTGTTCTCACATGGAATAACTTTCTTTTACTTGTCTATACCGTAAGTCTATGATAATATAAAGTGAAACTTCTTTTATTGAGAGTATTTTTGGGTATCCCCCAATATGTAATTAACCAATAGGAACATAATCTTCTGAGAGTGTTATTGACCATAGAACATGTACATGCACCTGACTCTCTAGTTATAGGTAATCTACATAGATACTTCTTTCGTAGATATTGATTTAAGATGTCTCCGCTCGATCTTGTTTGGGGGGACATTTTTGACCTATCCTTGCGAGATTTATCACATGTAGACTCTCCATGTTTTACTTTTTCTCTTGTTTGTCATTTTGTCGTATTTCCCTTCTTATTCGGTTCCTCTACTCTTTGAATTACCGATATGATTCAGGAGGGAGATTTATTTGAATAAAAGAAGTAAACGACGATCGACAAGCTGACGACTTCTTCTAAAATCAAAAAAAGAAAAATAAACGAATATATTTTGAAAATCATATATGATTATAATTCTCACCGTAGTTTTCTACTTTACAACCTCCATTTAAAAAAAAAAAAAACTACAACCACTCCAAACAAATCCCAAATCCCCACTTACACTCTCTATTGTCACTTTTACAGTCAATACAGACTTCATTATATCTCTCTAAGTCTTCTCTAAAACTATTTTAAAATTGGATCTATCAGGCATTCGTTCTGCAACAACAATCACTACTAAGCTCTTTATTTTTTGGGCAGATTTTTACTCCTAACACCGAGAAGTCCGGTGTCTCAGCAACAACTGATCAACGCCAAAGCACTAAGCTCTCGGATTTTTGAACTATCATTTTCATGTTCTCTGGTGCCACAATACCACTTGGCTAATACTGAGATATCATCTCTAGCACCTTAGCATCTGTTGAACAATGCCTTTATGTAATGTCATCTATTTATGTGCTTGTTTTATGCTCTAGACAACGTATATGTGTGTTATATTGACTTTCTTGAATTTTTTTTCTATTTCTTCTTCGTTGAGGATACATCTCATAACCAATGCTAATAGTGTTCTTCTAGTTAATTATAATAGTGGTATATATGTAAATGCCCCAAAATTTTTATAGCAAAGCTACAAGAATTTTTTGCAGGAAAGTTATAAAATACCACAAATCGAGCCAAACATACTCTCATTTTTCTGTTGCAACTTGCAAACCCCGCCCCTCTCTTTCTCTCTCTAAAATATCATCTGTTAGGTATGACTCATATACCAGATAAGGGATAGATGTTGGAGAGGAACGGAGCGAGCCAGCCGAGTGGAGAGAGCGAGCGTAGCGATACTCATGAGTAGAGTGAAACGGAAGTATCTGTCCAATTGGAGGAGTTTTTTATTTTTTTTTATTTTTTTTTTTTATTATGTAGGTTGAAGGTAGAAGTAATTTTATAATTACATATTGTACATCGAGGTTATATATATATATATAATATATATATATATATATATATGTAATCCTAAGAGTATCTTGTACTCTTTTTCTAAATTGAAAGAAAAACCGTCACTCCACTCCCGATGACGTAGGCAAATTGTCAAACCTCATTAAATCTTAGTATTTTCTCTTAATTTGCGTTAATTTTTACGATTGCTTTGCCCTAATTACTCACATCATCAAAGCCTCATTTTAACCTAAACTGCTCAATTTCCCCTAAATATGAAGGTATATCACATCTTATTCCTCTCATAAACTCCTTTCAAAATTTCATTCATGAAATTTATTTATTTTTATGAAATTTTTTAATATATTTTTTATTAGAATGCAAGATTTACATACATATCCATCAATTCCTATGTATTTACGTAATCTATCTGTTGGATTCTAAATTGATCTTTGTAAACACACTTCGAGCGTTTGAGCTTGGAGTGAAGGAGAAGAGAAAGAGGGAGTGTAGTGAGTCAGAGGTTGCCTGTCGAGGGAGTAATTGAAAGGTCTTTTATCTGTATTTTTCTTCCTTATTTATATAGGTATATTTTGTACAAATACGGAAATGAGGGAATGACTATGAAAACTGCCATCAATACAGTTGACATTCTCAGTAATCGTATGAAGTTTAGACCATATATGTATTACAATTTGAATTTTAGCATGACAGTAATTGGTCGGTCTACTTGCTTAACTTCAGTCGGCTGAAGCGACCAGCTGAGTGGCGACCAAGCGACGAATTGGTCGCCCGAATCACTCGGTCGAATGTAGATTTCATTCACCACGATATAGGCAGGTCAATATATCAGCCTCGATCAAGAATTGATGCTTGCATCTCGGTCGGCCTGGACTGTTAGTGTGACTTGACGCTTGAATCTCTCAACGCAATGTGTCAGTTGATTCCCGACCGTGCAATAGTGTATGGTAAGAAGCTTCGGCTGTCTGCTCTCATCTGGGTCGTCTAAATGCTTTGAGATTTATGCTAACGGCTGTGGTGTAAACATTATCACTTAAATTTATATCTTTTAAATGTATGAAACCTCTGTGCATGAAAAAGTGTATCTCACTCGCTAAACATAAAACATAATGTTACTTTTGATGTGATGCGAAAGATTTTGATGGTATAAATATAAAAAACAAACTATAGGTGTAAAACATGTAAATGCATAGGAATTTGGTGGTATGCATTTAAATGCCCCAATCACAATATTGCTAAGGCTATAATAATATAAGCATTTTCATGCATTGAGAACAAAGAATTAACGAAATTCAAAAGAACTGTACATAAATGATTTTGCATATGTGATCCTACGTTCCCCAAAACAAAACAACACAATGAAAATTTCGAATCCACACATTTTTTATCGGACCCTACAATGAACATCTATTGAAAAACAAAATACAGATCAATTTCAGTATCATCAATACTGTGTTAATCAACTATACGCACATCACACAAAAGAAAAAAAAAAAAACTGCAGTTAATGTCTGGAGAGGCAGGTGATGAAAAATTCTGATTGTTGTAGCCGTCCTATGTCCAAATTTCTGTTCTATTTGTTAGTGCCTTTGTAAAGAATGTATCTTATTCTCACGATTCCTTCAAGAAGCAGAAAAAATAGCAAACATTAGCCTTAGTCTACAAGAACTTGACCAGTTACGACAGCAGAAAAAAGTAACTTTGACAAGTAAATAACGTCTGCACCAACGAACACAACATAAAGTTTCAATAGAAATGGAGAGCATATTTGAGGCAAAGCCAAATATGAAACCTTCTATGAGGAATATTTATTGCTTGCAAACAATTTGTAAATTTGTTTAAAACATATAATTTAATTCAAAAATGAATGATATAAAAGCTAAAGCCTAGATATACTAAACGACATGAAAGGCCCTTGTTAGGGGAAGCAGAAATCCACCTAATAAATAGAAGTTGTATAATCAATATCTAAATATCATTATGCAAAGTACCATAAATAAAAATTATCTTCTCTCCAACAATGTTTGCACATAAATCAGTTCATTAAGGTATAAAGCAATCATGAAATCCATTATCATTTTATGAAGCAACAGAAACCTTTCAAAGCAATTTTGCAACAGTAGACAACTAATGAACATTAAGTGAAATTTATAAGTGCAACAGATTTGAATACACCAACTGTGACAAAGTAGAATTAGTTGGATAGGAACTCATACCTTTCATGAAACTTTCTAATAACTGAGACTAGTAATTCATCTCCAACTGTTTGCCTAAGTTGAGTTACCAGTTGAATACGAGAAATCCTCCTTTCCTGCAGATACACAAATCATATGCTTTTTATAAAATGAGGAAGAAAATTATAAAAAAAAAAATCACATGCAGCTATTAATAGGACAAAAACGCAAAAGCAGGAGGAAAAAGTAGTCAAAAGATAGCCCAAGTTATATTAGTTCAATTAATTACCATATATTTGACGTGGAACCTTTTAATCAAGCAAATCTTTGAGGAAGATAAACACTTAGAAAGAGTATAGATCAGCTTGCTGAAAGATATCCATGGTGAGTGCGGCCTTCCTACAATTTCCTTCAAGCTCCCTGAATATAAAAGAGGAAAATATTAACAATTCAAGAAATACTTAAAATTTTCAATCAATGAAAGAGTTTTTGAGAGGAAAAAAACAAACCTTTGGATTGGGTGTTCTCCAATTGGACAGTCAGTACATACAACGGCAGCACACGAGTTTTTGCATCAGAAAACCGCACGATGTACCTCCGGGGAAATTTCTGATTATCCACGCCAGAATCAAATTCATCTGAAATTAGTCCAAATGGTTTTGTACCAGGAAGAAACTCTTCTGTCTTTCCCAATATCACTCGACAGAAAATAAGGTGCCTAAATCCATTTACATCAGCAACAGACGATAGAACACTGTCAAATAAGAAAGACAAATCAATGCAAGCATTTCTGTATTTAATCATAATAACAGAGAAAAGTATCAAAATGGTGCCCAAACGGTTCATCGGCCAGAGTCTATAAAAGTGTTAATTTAGTCACCACAATCTTTTAATATGGGCTAAAATAGTCCTTTTGGAAACTATTTCAGACTATATTGAGAGAGTTTTGAGACTAATTTAAAACTTTCATAGACTCTGATGGCCACAAGTAAAAAGTAGGAGACTATCATGACACTTTACTCCATAATAATAGCACGAGCATTTAAAATATGCAGAAAGCTGAGCTGCAATTGAATCTGTTTAGTAAGTTAAGCAAACAACAAACAATGTTTAAAATTTTGAATGCACGGAATACCATTCTTGTCACTCAAAAAGAAAGGGATGGAGAACCTCTTTTACAATCACCAAGAAGATTAAAATTGTAAGAACATGTCTCATTCCATTAAAAAAAAAGGAAACTTGGGCATTTTCAGGAGCATTAAGAACCTTATTAATTCGACTATTCATACATCTGGATATAATTTCTTTATTTTTTGGCATTATAACAAAACTTGATATTTTCAATAGAGTTTTAAAGTGTGATTTAAGTCCCTACAACATAATTATTATGTACTTACAACACTTGAACTTTGATATTTTGTTAGAAAATACTTAAGTTTTCATAATCACAAAAAAAAAGCATTTTTCTTCAAAAAAATTAATATCAGTAACATTTTTTATATGATGTAAGAAAATTATGAATTATATAAGTATCAAAATTTAGGTGTTGGACGTGTAAATCAAAAAATAAAAATAAAAAATTGTGTGGTGTGCATTCAAATCAGCCAATTTTAAAATGCAAATACGCAAACAACCATACCTCTCAGGCTCTCACCCATACTAATCTCTAGATAAAAGAACATAAATCTTGAAAGAATTGCAGTGGAGCAACGACCTCTACACTACTTATCGAAAGAAAACAAAGATTTCAGTTAATATAAGCATAAAACAGACGATTAAAATGCATACCAATTCGCCGCAGAGGACGCTCCATAAATGCATATCCCGAAACCAAATGTCCCGCCCATCGGCACTCCATCGGAACCAAACCCATTCCTCACAATCTTACGAACCCCCTCTACGGAAGTACCATACCACCCCATATTCAGATTAGCATTCCCACCATTCTTCTCCGCCAACGCTCTCACGTACAGCCCGAATGCCCCGAGCTGCGCCCTACCCATGGCAGAAAAGTAATGCATCACCCTCCTAATTTCCACAACGGAACAGCATTCCGCCAGCCGCCCGATTGAAATCAAGAAATTATGCTTCAAATTGATGTGCTCATCGTCCCCTTCATCAAGATGAAGAAGCGCCCCGTCTTCAAATGCCCTCAATTCCGTCGATTCGGTTGTAATGCTCTCCGAATCACTTGCCTCATAGTTGAACTCGATGGGATCGTCGTCTACGATTGACCCGTTCATCGTAAAGGTCTCTCTCTCTCTCTCTCTCTCTCTCTCTCTGGTTTCAGAGCTGGAAGAAAGGGGATAAAGAGGCGCGGAGAACGGCTACCGCCTCTGGTTTTGGAGGAAAGATGGTGTGCTGCGTGAGGCGCTTTGGTTTTAAGTATTCGCTGGGCCGCCGAACGGTTAGAAGGCGGTGTGGATTACCAATTATACCCCTGATGCCTTGTTCAGGTTTTTTCTTGCAAGAAAAGTAATTCCATATATAAAAATCTTTATTTTATGGGAGCAATTCGTCATTGACTGCGGTTGGGTTCCGTTTCTTTTGGGAGCTGATGTGAAATAGGCTCAAGAGTTGAAATGTTTTCTAATATTACCTTATATATTAAATAAGGCTCTGTTTGAGGGAGCTACATCAGTTTAATTGTCTCATAAATGGTGCCATCATTTTTCTCCCAAAGGTGTTATCATGTTTTTCATTAATAATAGCATTTGTACTCCAACAAAATTTGCATTCACATCAAGTGCAACATTTGCTTGAATAATATTAACAACATTTTCATCTTCGTTCTTACTACTATTAACACAATTAAAAGCTAAATAGCTTTCCCACAAAGTAGATAAAAGAACAATGTTGTTCAGCTCTATGAATGAAAGAAAATTATTTAGATGTTTGTGTTGAATTGAGGCTTCTACTTCTCCTCAAATTTACAACAAAAAGAAGCACCAACACCAAACAGAAACATCACAGGCGAAATCCACTCCCTCATAAGGCCTATTCATCTGTTTAAAATCACAACAAATAGAAGCACCAACACCAACAACACCCCAACTTTGAAGTACATAACTAACAGAAACAGCATAGACAAAATCCACCCCCAATAAGGCCTCTTCTTCAGCTCAAATTTACAACTAACAGAAACAACAACACCACGAGTTTCTCAAATTCTTCAAACAGACATGAAATTCAAGCCCAAAATCATAAAGAAAATCCAACATAAACAACAAGAAATCAAAGCATCAAGAAAAATCAAATGGTGCAAATCCACGAGAAACCAAAAGATCTCAAAGATTAGGTGCAAAACCACCAAGAAAATATAGGGAAAGGGGATATCGGAGGAAGAAGGCGTCCAAAACGACAGGTTAGGGCTAAGGAAGTGAGAGCTTCGCAGGGAAGGTAAGGGCAGACGACGAACACAGGGTTGAACCCAAGGGGCAAGCACGTACGTGAAAAAAAGGAAAAACGTGGGCCTCGAACCCGCTGCGACCCGAGGCCCGCGTTTTATTAAACTGCAACTATGCTGCCCAAGTTCTTACGTGGAAAGACCTGTAAAGAGAAAAAAAAACACGTGGTCTGGCCCAGTTGTAAAAAATACTAGATATGGATGATTAGAGAAACCTTTAGTCCCACAGAAGGGAAAGGATTACTAAATTTTTCAAGTTACAACGTTAACTGACGATGTTTGGTTGGTGTTAGTTGATGACAGCTGGTGGTGATCGATGGCGGTTGGTGGTTATCGACGACGGTAGACACTAGCCGACGGCGATTGACGAGTGTCGATGACAGTCGGCAGTTGTCGATGATCGTTGGTGGTGGTTGACGACGATCGGCGGTGGTCAACGACAATCGGCAATGGTCGACGGTGATAAATGGTGGTCAACAGCGATCGACGGTGGTCGATGGCTTTTGGTGGTGATCGACGACTGTTGGCGGCGATCGACACTGGTAAGGATGGTGTTGGACTTCAACTCATTATCAAAGCTTCAAGCTCTCTCTCAAGGCTCAAGTTCTCCACTCATGAGAGGGGTGAGACTCTATTTATAGTGTTTTTGATGCAATTAATACAAAAATATGATCTACTTTGATCAGACAGTTCAGAGAGCTTTCCTCAATCAAACGACTTTCGATGAACATTTGAGTGTCTTAACGATGTCATAATTGAACAATCTTGGGCTCGTTGGATTCATCTTGGAGACACTCTATTCGACTATAGGCTTGCTAGCTTCAATATTCGTTCAACCTTCTAAATATGTCTGAAAAACCTTCAAGAGTGATTTAATGACTTGATATGGACTTGATTTGACTTGGATTAGACCAATTTTGATATAATTCGATCTATCTCATCGAGCTTGTCAGTTTGACTATAAGTTTGTTGAAATTGATGCTTGTTGTGAGATATGCACTTCCTGACATAGAAATGAGACGAGAAAGAACATAAGCAAACACAGATCGTTTACGTGGTTCGATCCAACTGGATCTACGTCCACGGGAGGGAATCAATCAAATATTTCACTAAGGCAAAAGAAATGGAGAATACATAGCTTATACATAGAGATGAGCCCTCATCTTCCTTCTATGGCCTCCCTCTCAAGCGACACCTTGATACAAGGCCTCAAGATGCTCTCCTCCTCTCTAACTCTATAGCTATTCTCTCCTCCTTTGTGGTAGCTTAAGATATTTTCTCCCTTTGCTCTCCTAAGCCTCACACCCTCTCTATTTATAGAAGCAAGAGAGTGGTAGGTAGGAGGTAGGTGGGAGGTAGGTGGCCGGTAGGTGACCGGTAGGTGAGCGGTAGGTAGAGATGTGGTAGGTGGCTGTGCCACATTACAAAATTGCCCTTTTACCTTAGTTCATTAATTGGGGGTCAAAATAACAATGCTCTTAACAACTTTTTATCAATATTTGAACATTTCTTGCTCAAAATATTATCTCGAGATTCATGTCATGCCTTGAAACTCGTCGTGTTGGATGATGAGAATTTGTTAATAACGCATCACTCCTAATTCCTATATATTTAAATATGTAAACTTTAAATTTTATCTTTTATATTATTTAATATTAAAAATATCACTTTTTTAACATTTAGAAAATGAAAGTACAAAATATACATTTTCAAATAAACTGGGCAAAATTTAAGTCAAGCATTAGTTGAAGCTGAGCTCCATAACTACATAGAATGAATGATTTTAATGGACACTCAAGATTCCTAAAATTAATTAGTAATTAAATAAATTTTTTAGAATATAATTGAAAGTTTTAGTTTTAAAATAATTTTACTATTTTTTTCTTTATTCGAAAAGTTACTTTTTGTTATTATTCAAGTGGTGATAAATGCCAAATGTTACCCAGCCATGTATTCATGCTTTGCAAGCATATATATGTAATTGTGCTAGCTCCCCAATGATTTGATCCATTTAGCTAATATATTTTCTCTTCATAGTCATGAAATGAGATGTGTTAGATTGTGTTGAATCTCAGATTGTCATGTGGATAGAGCATTGGGCAAGTGAAAGGAAAGGGAGTAGAAGAAGAGTAAGCTCGAGTAACACTTAAGTTTTTGTAGAATTTTTCAAGTATCCCCGTTTATGAAAATGATCCCCATATTCATAAGTCATAGGAATGATATAGTAAATTACATGATTGTCTCTATTTAATAGAAACATTATAATCATTTATGAATCATTATACCTTTACATATTTGCAACTAACGTAAACACAATTTGACCATGTAATTACTGTTAGCACCATTTCATGTATGTAATCGTATGTGGCGTCGTTTTGCATTCGTAACTGTCTGGTCTGATCACCTTGTATTTATTCGGTCGGCCGAGAGTATCAACCAACTGATGATTTCTGGTAACCTCTTCAGAAGAAGTTCATTGCGAGGGCTCATTGTCTTCGTGAAGGATTGTTCCGTTAGACAAAGAATAATTATCGTACTCTAACGGACACCCTTCCTTCGGTAGAAGAGCTTGTTCAAAAAAAATTCTCTTGGAAGGTTGTTAATCTTCATCGATCAATCATGAACGTATGCATGCCGTATTTTTTGGTTCGATCAGTGGTTCGCTCGGTCATCTTAAAATTCGGTCGACTAGTGCAATGATAAATTTCCGTGCTTCTTCTGCTTTCTTTGTGTGAACTATTCAATCCCATCGAGATTCGTGCAACCACATTAATGACATACATATTGACAATTATTTGTTTCCAAGTTTCCATTTTCAACTTTGTTAGTAAAATGAATATGTACTTGAATTCAACTTTAGTTAAATACTTGAGTGGTTAAGTTTACATTTGGTTAATTATTGGTAAAATTCACTTTACTTCATAATGCAGTCATGTTTATATTTGAAAATTTTAGCCCAAAAAGTAATTTGATCAATTCGAACCCGACGCCTCACAATGAAAAGTTAAAACCCTAAACCACTATGTCGTGGATAAGAGTGCTAGTGTTCTCTTGCATACATCCACATTACATGTAGCATACTTAACATCTATTTCAAATAATTTTCTTGAAAAATATTTTGTTCTCTCAACAATTCTCTAGCTCGAGCCCTTAGAGAGGTTCAAAATCCTGACACAATAATCCTATAAGGAAATGACCGATTTGATCTACCGAGTAGCCTCATTTGAGTCGGATGTGTTTGTTTAGGATCATTGAAGCGTAGAGAGTCGGCCCTTGGTGGTTCAATACATTACTGCGAGGAGCACTTTCATCCTTGCTGATTTCAAGTGAATGTTTGTGACACAATTTGCTAGCGCCTAAAAGCCTTACAAAAATTGAAGGCTCTTCTGCATATCTAATAGGGACAAAATGCAAGTATTTACTCATTCATCACACAATTTTCTAAATGAAATTTTGGAAGTGTTGGGCCCCCGTAGTAGCTCATATCACCCTAACTCTAAGGCTAAAGGAAGGACTATTTTGGTATGCTTTGGTCTGTAGCGACCAAAGAAGCTACACAAGTTGTGGAACTAGCTAATAGTCGCATATAAACAGAATAATACAACTCCTCCCTTGCATCACTCAGAATTGATTGAGCTAATCACCATCCACCAATGAGAACCACCAATGGAGAAAGACAAGAATCGAGGCACAATCCTCACAGCTTGATTAAAGCTCATCTCGAAGACTCATAAGTACACTTGAATAATCGAGCGACCGATAGAGCACACCACCGAGTGAGTCAAGTCCAATATCTTGACTAGCACCTGACTCGGTCATGAGATTGTGTTATCGTTCCAAACATTGTATTTTTTGTGAAGTTCATAAAAATGGTTATGTAAAAATTTTCTAATCATGCACATAATCCCAAGTCTGGTCAAAATTCAAAGAACTTTGGAAGTTCAGTAAAATTATAAATAAAATGTGAATGACATTCGGGGGAACTTAAAACAACTCACCAACGGTGATTTCACATGACTTGTAATACTAAAAACGACACACTGTGTCTGAGGGGTGAATTTTTTTCAAAATTTACAATGATAAATAAACAATAAATCAGTAAAAATATATAAAAATTATAGACAACGACTATTAAAATTAGATATGCAAAACGTACAAGAACCACCCCACAACATCTATGTATCATAAAAACCTGTCTCCTAGCTCAAAGTGAATTAAGCTTTGGTGGTGATTTCCTACCTCTCAACAATGAGATTCATGGTGGATAGCATACAAACCACCCCAATAACAAATCTCGTTGGTTACCTCCTTGAAGACTGCTACAAGATCCACTTAATTTGTTTAGCATAAAGTGTGAAATGTCCAAAACGCGACCAAACCAAGCAACTGAGAAATGGAAAGTGTAAAATTTGAGTTAGTTGTCAACTCAATAAACTAACCAAAAAAGTTCTTAAGAGGTTTTCAACCCATCAATGATCACAACCAAACATTTATCACAAGAGAAATAAAAATATACGGTAAAGGTAAAGTTCAAAAAATGAAGGTAAAAATTGACCAATAGTTTTAATTTATTTTATGATTGAGAGATTTACAAATAATTTTCTACATTTCTTTACAAGAGTTCAAAAAGATTTTTTTTTTCCTAAATTACATAAGAAGCCGAAGGGGAGTTATACATTTGAAGACACTCCATCGTCCTCACCACTGCCCTCTTCTTCTCCATTCTTCGAGTGTGAAAGTAATGTAGCAATTTATCTATATTGGTTCACTCAGAGGAGAGAAACTTTGGTTTTACCATTCGACTGATGTCAAAGCCCACTCTTTGCCTAAGCTATGCGACGAGGAGTTCCACCCGCTGAGGGTGGAAAGAAATTTCAGCGAAGAACTTGTCAGACGTCTGCAACATTACCATCTTCTTTTTTAAGGCTTGGTTCTCTCTCGGAGTGGTCGATAACAACTCTGGCAATCTGCGTATTTTGGATTCAGACACCTTCGTCTGTTCATCCACCAAATTTTCTCTCTCTTTAGCCACAAATAATTTTTCCTCAGCCTCAAGGAGGTTCATTGATCGGAAGGACATCAATTAATACTTGTAGATCATCCCGCCCAAGCCTGATAGATTTTGCTCATTAATAACCTTCCCAAAAACACAAGTCCAAATCACGTTGATGATAATTGAGGGATATAGAGCCGCAATAGGGGAGTTAGAGTACCAATCTATCCTCATGTCAATTAAGGCAAATCAATCATCGGAGCTGGTGCTCACATTTGCCCTCTCATATTGCAAGTGGGGAGCCTTTATGATTCCTTTGGGGAGGGGGATTAGGAGAGACACTTATATTAATATTAGGAAGTTCCCCCTTATGATGGCACATCACCTCTTGGCTAGAAGGCTCAGGCTCAGAATCAAGTTTGCTTTGGCCAACTGGAGAAGGGTTGCTCGCTTCATACCTCACAAACATGATAAAGGGCCTTACTAATCCTGCCACCAATGAGAAAAAAATTTCATTGGGTATCCAACCCCTCAAAAAATGTCAAGTGGGTGCATTCAAAAAATAAGTAAGTGTGAGTTTCTTTAGAAGAGAAACATAAAATATAGTTAGGGTGAGACTATCTCTTATTTTAAGACCAAAAGGAATCATTTTCGAAACAATAAAATCAAATTTAATATAATAACATTTAAAAAGGATATTTATTCCACTCAACTTTAGAAAATTTGTCATATGAAAAAATGTAAACTCGTTCGTGTGCATAAAGATCAGAACCAAGCTAATGATAAGACTTTTGTTTATCAATAATAGAGATATTATAAATGAGCTAAGAGTTATGATTAGTGGCAGAGTTGTTGGGAAGCAAAGTCCACCTATCATTTGAAATAACATTACAATGCATAGTGTGAATGAGATGATGAAACTATAAGAAAGAAGCTGGGCCAAATTTATATTAAATAGAAATGCCATCAAGGTATGGGTCAAAATAGAATAATAAATGATCATTATATGTAATATAAAAGGTTAAGTAAGTCTTAATTCTCAGAACTACTTTTATGAAGTCTTTTTTAGAAAGTAGAGATTTTGTAGTTTTTGTTATACCAAAGAGAAAAATAAAAATTAATACATTAATAAGAAATATAAGAGTTAGAATTGCAATGCCTATAAGTGATTTTAAGCTTACCCATAATGTTAATAGTGCCAAAGTTGAGAAGGCCAAGATCGCCATAATCCTTAAGAAGAGTGGAAGTACTTTAAGTAATAATGTGTAGTTTCCTATTAGATGAGTTATGATGCAAGAAATTAATAAACATAGATGAGAACTTCCTCTGAAGTCTTTCTAAATATTGGTAGATTTAAATCAATAGTAAAGATACATCCAAATAAAAAAATTTAATGAGTTAAATTTGATAACAACAGATAGAAGCTTTTGTTTCTAACCTAAAACATAAGAGTGCACTTACCAAATATTTAATGGCAATCCATAACATTAGGTGTGTTGGCTTTGATAACTACTTTGAGGTAGTCTCGAGGTAATGCCTTATAATGAAGCCTGTTGTTATCACATTTTTGTTATTATAATCAAGGTTCACAATGTTTGAAAAATAAATGAATGTTTTAGAAGAATTAACACAAAAATTAATTGCCTTGTTAAAAGTATTGAGAATAGCATTGAGGCCATTGATAGAGTAAATATGAACATTTCCAAAAAAAACAAGTTAACTGCATAAATAAAATAAAAGAAATTATAATTTCCAAAAATGGTATTGTTGTTGTATGATTCCATAATGGAGGAGAATGCTTCATAACTATAACAATTAAGTAAGGAGATATAAGGCATCCATGACTTAAACTAAAAGAGGAAGAGAAGAAGCCCCTGATTTTTTTATTTATTTAGGATATTAGATAAATACACATCTTTCACACAAAATATAATTCATTTAATAAAAATGTGCTCAAGCTTTCCATTCTAAAATAATACGTCTATTAACATGTAAAAAACTTTCTTCAAATCAGTTTTAGGACAAAATATCTGAGAAGCGCAAGAAGATTTAAAACTAAAAGGAAGCTCATTAACTAAATTTATATAGTCTACCATGTATTTTCCAATAATGATGGCTTCTTATGTGGAATGATGATACTAGGAAGGAGAAATTTTAGTCTTTTAGCCAATAATATAGATATGACTTTGTAAATAATATTATAATGAGAAATTAATAGAAAGTCATTAAGAGTTTAGACATGAATTTTTTTAGTATGATAGTAACAATTAAATGTTTGGCTCTCTTTGAGAGCCTAGTTTTAACAAAAAAATAATTACTAACTTCAATACAAATAGAATCAATAAGATCCCCAATGTTCTTAAAATATTTATATGTGAAAGCATCATACACATGGGCTTTGTTTGATCCAATTGAAGATGAAACTTTTTTTAAATCCATGTTAGAGAAATCATGAATAAGACTAGCAACCTTAGAATCATTAATGTGGTGCAAAATAAGAAAAAAAATCAGCCTGTATTAAAACACCACAAGAATTACTATTTAGCAAAATAGAAAATAAGGAAACTACTTTAATAGAAACATCATCTTGTGAAATAAGATAATGGTTATTAAAAAGATGTACTTAGCAGTGCATGAATTATTCTCGACTTTAGTTCTTTAATAAAAAAATTAATGTCATCTTCTCCATTAGAAAGTCATATGCACTTAGCGCTTTGCTTAATCTATTAATATTCACAAGATAAATAGCCATAAGCTCATTTTGAGTAGAAGATGCTTGGATAAGTAACTCATGATTGATAGGAGAACTCTTAGTTGATGTAAGATATCTTTGTGCTTAGAATTAAGGGCTAAAATAGAAGAGGAAAGAGTAGAAGAAGAATTTCAATCCCAATTTTTCAAAACAAGCTTAATATTCTTAAGTTTGTTACAAAGATCAAATATAAGATCATCAGGCACTGCATGACTTCATGCATATGAAATAAAATTAAGAAGCTTAAATTTTTTTTCGAAACAGGGAAAAAAATCTGCTCTGCTTTAGGGAAGAAAATAAAAAAAAATAATAATAATTCAGGGCTGCATGCCACATCATTTTAAAAATAATGCTTGTTTTTTTTTTCTCGATGATTCATAATTTGGTTAGATTTAACTTTTACGTACTGAAATAAATAGGAATTTAATTTTTAACAAAAAAAAAATTAATTTAATTTTAATTTTTAGCAAATTTAATTTTAAAATAATTAGGCTATCACGGCGCAGTGTTATTTTATTTTAATTTTTTTAATTTTTTTTAAATCAGAGCAAATATTCTTTTATGACTGAGGTGATGACTATTTCAATTCCAATATTTATTTTTTGAATTTCAATTCTTTTTGAAAAATTAAATACCATTTTAAAAGTTTTATCTTTAATTAAAAGCTCCTTCTTATAAAACTTTAGCCCAACGGATACATTCGCAAATTTGAATTTTGAATCCGAAATTTTGAATCTTGCATTCCCATCTTCTTTATTATAAATCTCGCAAGAACTATACACCGTCCAGCTTCCTTCGCCCTTCCTCTTCTTCACAATCTCCGTCTCCCTTCCCCCTCGCCATGGCCGCCACCGTCCATAAACCCCTCCCTCTTCAGTCCAGCACAACCCACAACTCCATCTCCGGCGTGGCAGGAACGGCCGCCGCCGGCAAGAAGACGATCGAGGAGATTTACCAGAAGAAGACGCAACTCGAGCACATTCTCCTCCGTCCTGATACCTACATCGGCTCTGTGGAAAAGCATACACAGGCTCTGTGGGTCTACGAGAATGAAGAGATGGTACACCGACCCGTGACCTATGTGCCGGGTCTCTACAAGATCTTCGACGAGATCTTGGTTAATGCGGCCGACAACAAGCAGAGGGATCCATCTATGGACTCCCTGAAGGTCGATATTGACGCTGAGGCCAACTGCATCAGCATCTACAACAATGGTGATGGTGTTCCGGTGGAGATCCACCAGGAAGAAGGGGTTTACGTGCCGGAGATGATATTTGGACACCTCCTCACTAGCAGCAACTACGATGATAACGTGAAGAAGACCACTGGTGGTAGAAACGGGTACGGTGCGAAACTGACCAATATTTTCTCCACCGAGTTCATCATCCAGACTGCGGATGGGAAGAGGCAGAAGAAGTACAAGCAGGTGAGGTTGTTAGATTACTAGATTCTCTTCGTAAAATTTTCTGTTGGTATTTTATTTTTTCCGACTTCTTGTGAATTCTTCGTTGCTTCTGAAGACATCGGCCTGTCGGATTAGGGTTTATGTTATTAATCTTCTTGAGGCATTCTCCTATTATGGTTTCCCAGTACTTGATATGACGATGGTTCACATCTTAATCTGCTGATCTTTGTTTCGAAGAAATTTACTCCAGAAGGTACTGGTTTAGGTTACTAACTGTTTCTCATGAAATTCTTACAAGCGCTTTCTCAAATGTAGGTGTTCTCCGGAAACATGGGGACCAAGACCCAGCCCTCCATCACCAAATGCAAGGAAGGAGAGAACTGGACTAAGGTCACGTTCAAGCCAGACCTGCTGAAGTTCAATATGGACCATCTTGAAGAAGATGTGGTTGCTCTGATGAAGAAAAGGGTTGTTGATCTAGCTGGAACACTGGGTAAGACTGTGAAGGTTGATTTGAACGGGAAAAGAGTACCTGTTAAAACTTTTGGTGATTATGTTAACCTTTACCTCCAAACTGCTTCAAAATCTAGATCCGAGCCCCTTCCAAGGTTTGAAAAATCCAAGGTTATTTATCTGCAGCTAGATTCTGCTCAACTTGCTCATATTTGAACTACGTATTATTTAATTTAGGATTGTGGAGAAAGTCAATGATAGGTGGGAGATATGTATAAGCCTAAGTGATGGACAGTTTCAACAGGTTTTTTGAAATAAAGCTTCATGAACTTTACATACCTGTTTTATTTATCCGAGTAACAAAAGATCAACAGACAAGATTTTATTTTGGTTTCCATTTCTTCAGGTGAGCTTTGTTAATTCCATTAACACCATCAAGGGAGGGACACACGTTGAGTATGTCACCAGCCAAATTGCTAGCCATGTGATGAGCATTGTGAACAAAAAGAACAAAAATGCGAACCTGAAACCACACAATGTGAAAAGCCATCTTTGGGTCTTTGTGAATTGTCTCATTGATAATCCCGCATTTGATTCCCAAACAAAAGAGACTTTGACCACTCGTCAAGGAAGCTTCGGGTCAAAATGCGATCTTTCTCAAGATTTTCTCAAGAAAGGTAATAGTTTGTATTGCAATGTTACCTTGTTTGGTTCAGCTCTGAATTGGCATGATTATGAATTCAAATATCTCTGTTTGCAGTGGCTAAGTCAGGAATTGTGGAAAATCTTCTTTCATGGGCTGATTTCAAGCAGCACAAGGAACTGAAGAAGACAGATGGGGCCAAAAGGCAGAAAATCACTGGAATTTCGAAGCTAGACGATGCTAATGATGCGGGAGGAAAGCATTCCGATAAGTGCACATTAATCTTGACTGAAGGAGATTCAGCCAAGGCCCTTGCTGTAAGTTGCACAAGCCTTAAACCAAGTTAAATTATGAACCATTTTTATGTGAGGCTAGTCTTTGTCTGAAAATAACTCTCTCATCTGCGCCATACTTGCAACAGATGGGTGGTATTGCAGTTGTTGGCCGGGACTACTATGGTGTATTTCCTCTTAGAGGTAAATTGCTGAATGTCCGAGAAGCTAGTCACAAGCAGATAATGGAGAACGCTGAAATCCAGAATATAAAGCAAATTTTGGGTTTGCAGCAAGGGAAACAGTATGATAGTGTAAAGGGTTTAAGATATGGTCATCTCATGATAATGACGGATCAGGTTCCAAATGAACTGATAATTTAAGCCTTTTTTTTTCTGTAGAAATGTGAAAAGTTTAACATTTCTAAACTAGCACTCCTGTTTTCCATTTTCAGGATCACGATGGTTCTCACATCAAGGGACTCTTGATTAACTTCATACACACATTTTGGCCTTCTCTTCTCAAAATCCCCTCGTTCTTGGTTGAGTTCATTACACCAATCGTGAAGGTTAGCCCATCGATTCTAAAAAAATCTGATTTTGTGCATTGAAGTATGAAAAAGATGATTTTTGCTACATTTTAATTCTTAACTTTTCAGGCAACTTATAAAAAAACAGGAAAAGTAACGTCTTTCTACACTATGCCTGAGTATGAAGCTTGGAAAGAAAGTTTGCGTGGAAATGCAAGCAGCTGGTCTATAAAGTACTATAAGGTTTGTTTTTGCAAGCACCTTTAATACTGCGACAGCCATCATAGAAATTTCAATATTTTGTAATCTGTTCTAATTATAATGGTCACAGGGATTGGGAACTAGCACTTCCCAGGAAGGAAAAGAGTACTTCCAAGATCTTCAAAGGCACAAGAAAGATTTTGTATGGTCTGATGAACAAGATGGAGATGCCATAGAACTTGCATTCAGCAAAAAGAAAATTGAAGCCAGGAAGAATTGGTTGCGGCAATTTGAAGTAGGAGATAGTATAGCATTTCTTCGCCATTATCAAAATTTTTCACCTTGGCAGGCTCTGAAATTATAATTTTGTATAACTGCAGCCCGGAACTCACCTGGATCAGAATGAAAAACTCATCAGCTACAGTGACTTTGTCAACAAGGAGCTGATATTATTCTCCATGGCAGACTTGCAGCGGTCGATTCCATCCATGGTTGATGGTTTAAAACCAGGACAAAGAAAGATTTTATTTTGCTCCTTCAAAAGGAACTTTGTGAAGGAATTAAAGGTCAGAAAACTGATTTAAATCTAGCTCAATCAAACTCAAATCAAAACATGTTATGAAGCTGTATATTTGCAGATTGGTCAATTTGCTGGTTATGTTTCTGAGCATTCAGCTTACCATCATGGTGAACAAAGTCTCGCCACCACTATAATTGGAATGGCTCAAGATTTCGTAGGAAGCAATAATATCAATCTTCTGCAGCCAAATGGTCAATTTGGAACTCGACACCAAGTATGAATGAAACTTTATTACATGTTTTGAGTTATTTTGTTTTTGCAACTTTTAGTTTATGGTAGTAGTTCTGATATTTTCTTCTTTGTTGTATATGAATGAACTCAGGGAGGCAAGGATCATGCTTCTGCAAGGTATATTTACACAAAATTATCACCCATAACCAGGTTTTTGTTTCCCAAGGAAGATGATCTTGTTCTGGACTATTTGACTGACGATGGACAATCAATTGAACCCACATGGTATTTTATTTCATCTAGCAATTGATTTGTCATTAGCTTGAACCAGATTATCTAATTTGAACTTGCAATAATCTTTAGGTATGTACCAATTATTCCCATGGTCTTAGTAAATGGAAGCGAGGGAATTGGTACTGGTTGGAGCTCTTACATTCCTAATTATAATCCAAGAGATATTGTTAAAAATGTTAGGCGTTTGCTTAATAATGAGCCAATGGTGCCTATGAATCCATGGTATCGAGGTTTCAAGGTAAAGATGATATCTTTTACATCTTTTCATGTAAATAGGTTGGGATTTTCTGCAAATAATATCTGGAATGACGCTTTGTCTGCTCATATAATCAGGGTCTGATTGAGAAAACAGCAGTGAAGGAAACTGGCGCCATTACCTACACCGTCACTGGCATCATGGAGGAGATTGATAGCACCACTGTTGCTATCACTGAGCTTCCAATTCGAAGATGGACTCTGGACTACAAGGAATTCCTGGAATCGTTGGAGACCGGAAATGACAAAGTTAAGGAGCCATTTATTAAGGTAAATAAAGTAATTCAGATAAATGACTTCAATTTTAATGTGTATCAACCTGGTTTGCTATGCAATGCTAATTTTGCAGGACTTTAGAGAATATAGCGATGATGTTAGTGTGCATTTTGAGGTTACATTGTCAGAGGAGAATATGATAATTGCGAAGCAAGAGGGACTTGACAAGAAGTTTAAACTCGCTACTTCTATCAGTACTAGCAATATGCATCTTTTTGATCACAAGGGGGTCATTAAGAAATATGATACGCCAGAACAAAGTGAGTGTTTTTCCTATTGGCATATATCATTTTATCTGCTACATGTCTTGACTCTTAATCAACTTCACAGTTCTTGAGGAGTTTTTTCATTTGAGGATTACATATTATGAGAAAAGAAAGGTGAGATGGCATTGAATAAGTTAACACCTCCAATGATTATTTTCTTGATTTCACATACAAATAAGAGCAATTTATGCCAAATTTGCACAGAAAGCTTTGCTGGATACTCTTGAGTTGGAGCTTCTTAAGTTGGACAACAAAGTTAGGTTCATTCTTGGTGTTGTTGAAGGTCGGATCATAGTTAACAAGAGGAAGGGGGCAGAATTGTTCCTTGAGCTGAAAGAGAAGGGTTTTACACCATTTCCAAAGGAAACTAAGGGAATTGGTGCAGCTACAGCTGGAGTTACAGAAGAAGCTGAAGAATCCGAGGAGACAGCAGAAGTAGTTATAGGTGGAGTGAAGGCCAGTGACTATGACTACCTAATATCAATGTCTATAGCGTCCTTAACCTTGGAAAAGGTTCAGAAACTTTGCGCAGAAAAGGAGAAACATGAAAAAGTGGTGGTGGAGTTGAGGAGTTGCTCGCCTAGCTCTCTATGGAACAAAGATTTAGATGCTCTGGAAAAGAAGCTGGATGTAAGTTGTCTCTTTTAATTACTATCTTTTTTATTATCTTGTATAGCCAATGCATTTTTTTACACATTAATTGAATGATATTTCCTACACATCCATCTCTTGATCAGGAATTAGAAAAACAGGATGCTGAAGCGGAGGTAACTAGGAAAAAAAACAAGGAAAAGGCAGGTAATGGTGGTGCTGCAGCTGCCAAAAAAGCACCAAAGAAGCCAAGAAAGAATAACACGAAGCCTTCTGCTGCAATTGAATCCATGCCAATTGATTCTGGTATTTATTTTTCTTGTGTAGAGTATTGCATTATCCAAGTTCTTTTCCTGGTTCATCTTTTTAGCAATGGAGTATTTTCTTTGCAGAAACTGTTCAAGAGGTACCTAAGCCTAAACCTAAGCGGCGCCAACAGAAATCTACAGCTAAGGCGAGTTCCTAAAAATAATTGTATTCTCTTTGCTATGGTTTTTGTCCACTTCCTCTATGAGCTAAAAATTTCACATTTCATGTCTTCTTAGACTGTTTCTGTTGAAAGTGATGAAGATGAAGCGGTGATTGCTCTTAAAGACAGATTGGCTGCATACAATCTTGATTCGTCTCCTGAAACGAGTGGTATGATGCTTCAACTTTTTTTGAAGATTCACATAAATACCACTCAAATCTTATGTATTTTATATCTTATCTTTACATAAAATATGTATTTCACGTTTTAAACGTTAAAATAGTGATCTTTTTGCTGTGATATGAAAGATTTGGGAAAGATAAATATAGAAAGCAAAGTTCTGGTGTTCAGATATGCAAAGATATATAGGAATTGCGTGGTATGTATGTAGTAAAAGCTCAAATTACTCGAAGACTGTTAAATAACTTGTTTTTTTTACAGCCATGGAGACTGAAACTGTGGTAGAGATTGCCGCAGCTAAAGGACCAAAGAAGAGGGCTGGAGCTGCAAAGAAGCCCCTCAAATTGGATTCAGATGAAGAAGACACTGATGATGAAAACTTCGAGAACGACAAAGCTCCGAGAGGTAAGAAAGGAGGTGGTGGAGGAAGAAAGCCGGCAGCAAATGCGACAAAAACCAAAGCCATAACTGTAAGGAAGAAAGGAGATGCACAGAACAAATCATTGTTGAGCCAGAAGCTCATTTCTGAACTGTTGCCGCCTGCAACAAATGCCGTCAACTCTCCGGAGAAGAAGGTGAGGAAGATCAGGCCATCTCCCTTCAACAAGAAGAGTGGCTCGTTGCTGAACAAGTCTGAAACCAGCGGAAGTGGGAGTCAGGATTCTTCTTCCGGAGCTTCTGCTGAGGATTTTGTTGCGAGGGCAAGGCCGAAGAGGGAGAACAGAGCCAGAGTTGTGTATGTTGAGAGCGTATCAGAAGGATCGGAAGCGGAAGATGAGGAGGATGAGGTCTTATCGGAATATTCAAACTTTGAGGAGGAAGATGAGGATTAGAGGAGTTTTGTTTCGTTGGTTTTAGAGTAGGAAGATGACTTCCGAACTTCTCGGAGGATATTGATTAGGAACGTTTTAACCGTGGCTTCCAAACTTCTCGGACGGATGATGTGTAGGAACGCTTTTAACCGTGGCTGGATTGCTAAAATGCAATTGTTATCAGTTATTTAGCCGAATTTCTATGCAGTTTGTTAAGAAAATTTCAACAGCTTGCAATTCTTATAAATCCTTCATTGCTCATAATGGATTAATATTTCTGCCAATCAAAAAAAAAAAATCCAGTTTTTTTTTTTAAATCCCCCAAAAAATTATATTTATAGCTGAATGTTTTTTATATCAGGGTTGTAATCTTATATGATTTGTGCCCTCAATGTATTTAATGTTGTAATCTTATAGATAATTTTATTGTATCGTGGCTGCTTCAAATTAGAGTTTTATTTTCACCACATTCAAATAATTAGCTAAAAAAGAAGCGATAAGAATTAGGGCATGTTTGGGGGCAACTTATAAGTGTGGGCAGGGTTCTCAAAACGCCGTCGTACCGTTTGGTGTCAACTTATCCGAAATCGTGTTTGGGTTTTTACCTTAAATGTGGGCCGCGGGCCAACCCAGCGGGCCGTGTTTCAGAATAAACAGTTTATCTTAAAACGCATAAACTGTCCCAAACCCACCTTTAGTCATCAATTGAAAGAAATTAAATAAAAATATTACGTTTCAAATTGATAAATTAGCTAAAATTTTGAGTGAGTATTTAGTATTATATATATTATTTTTAACCAAGGATTTAAGAAATATAAATAAAGAAGCAACCAAATAAGTTTCAAATTAATATTTAACTAATTTACACCAGCTAAATAATGGGTCATTTGGAAGCACTTTTATTTTTTGCTTTTTATTTCTTCTTTTTATTTTGTTATTTTATTATATCATTATTATTATTATTTATTTAAATAAATTATCTTTAGTAAGTTGTAATATTGTCGGCACTATTTTTGGTGTGAGGTTTGCCCGTAAGAAGCTGTCGGTCATCGGAATTGAAATCCCGTTGCCCGCTTCGGATGGACGTTTTTTTTTTAAATTTTTATTTTTGAAAAAGATAAGTCAAACTGACCCCATAATTTTCATAATTTAGATGAAAGAGCATTTTACCTCAAATCCTGTATCTATCCCGAAGGATGAACACAAGAATTGAGGGTGAGGCTCGATCAAATAAACTAAAGAAAGTTATGACATCTGTTTGGTCTGCGAAACCAATGTATTAGCCGACAAATTCCCCTATTTAATATAAGGAATTAAATAGGGTTTATATTATGTTGGGTTCGGGAAAAGCTTCCTATAAG